CGCCCGCAGCAGCACGTCCCGCCCGCGCCTCCCGCCGCAGCAGCCGCCTCCATGGCGGCCGAGCCGCAGCCCAAGGCGCTGACCCGCAAGCCGCTGCTGCTGCACAAGGTGGAGGGCTCGCAGGAGGTGGTCAACATGGCAGCGATCGTGCCCAAGGAGGACGGGGTCATCAGCGTCTCCGAGGACAGGTACCGGCGGCGGCCGCCACGCACCAGCAGCACCAGCAGCACCATCAACCCGCGCGTCTCAGCCCGCAGGGACGGGGCTCGTGGTGGTGCTGGTGGTCCAGCTGTCGTGGCGGTGGTGGTCCCTTACGGTCGTGGTGGTCATGGTGGCGGTCCCTCATTGGAGGTGATGGTTCATACCTGAGGTGGTCCTTCCTCGGGGGTGACGATCCCTACCTGAGGGTGCTGACCCAGCACCCATGTCCTTCTGCGTCCCATGGGTCGAATGTTGGGCAGGTGGGTCTCCAGGAAAGCATCCGCCTGGCCCCAAGGGTCCCACCAAGGGGCTGGGGTTTGGAACGGCTGCCCCATGCGCCCACAGGCAAGAAGGAGCCTGGAGCAGGGGGTGACCCATGGTGGGACAGGATAGACCTCCTGCCTCCCGCTCCACGGCCGTGTCGGGTGGTGAACGGAGCTCGGCTGGGACTTCCAGCCCGAGAACTTGTGTGTAGAAAGTGGCACAGCAGGTAGGTGTCATCACGAGGGCTGCTGCCGGCCGAGCCAGGCAGATCTTTCACTGACCTTCCCCAAAGAGAGTGGGACCACGGGCTGGAACAAGTGGTTTCGATTCCAGCTTCCCCTCTCCACATATTTCTTGGTAGTTGTTTGTTGTAAAAATACCGTATCTCAAAGATAAGATCTTGGAGTTAATTCCTGTGTTGTAAAGCTGCCAAGGAGCGAGATGTTGTGAGCCCCTTTAGTTGCGCAGAGATGCGTGATGAACTCATCTCTGAAGCTGCTCTGAAGGGCAGTTCTTGCCCTTCTGAAGCTACTAAAACTTATTTCAGCTTTACAACTGAGGTCTGCCTTTGAAATAAGAGCTTGTTTTTTCTTATGGACACCATAAGTAATTATTTCAAATACAAATTCTCCACAGATCAAGCAAATAGAAGGTCACGTGTCCCCAGCTGCACATTTGAAAGATAAATGTTGATGTGTGTGGGAATGTCTTTCTATTTTCCAAGATGTTTTTGTGACCTCTTTCTTTTCAGACCTCTGCTCCCATGAAGAGTGGCTACCTTTGTCTCTCCACTAGCTTATCTAAAAACTGTCAGAACTGTCAGTATTCCTTTCATCCTGTCTTTGTCCTCGCTGTGAGTTAGTTTTCAGCCAGGTATCAAACAAGTGACCTGTGCAAACTTGGGATCATTTAAGTTCATCTAAGTCATGGTCTCCAAGTGAGTTTTCATGCCTCATAGCAAGAAGAAATGGATGAGCTACTTAGAACAGGCACCCTGTGAAAGAGACTTTAACCAGAGATTTACACCGTTACGTGACCAAAATTTTACTTTCTTTAGGTCTTTACTTACTGTTGGGAAGCAGAAAAGAACTTGAGTGAGTTTTGGCGTATTATAGCTTGTTGGACTTTATTGATCTTTTTTTTTTCCTATGTTTAAAGTAAATAAAGTATAGAAGGTATTCCTGAAACATTTTTGTTCGCGTGTGTGTGGTATATGTGTCCCGCCCTTCATACCCATTAAGGGGAAAAAAAAAGTATATTCTTTTACTGTTTTCTGAGATTAGGTTGATGCTGTAAGTTGTTATCCCTTGGGGTTGGCAAAAGATTTTTTTTTTTCCACTACTAACCGATTTGCCAGGGTCAGAAAGCCTGTGGCAAAGTGGAGACCAGGAGTTTCTCACTGAGAAAATGTAATAGTCCTCCAGCAAAACTCTCTCCTGTCCCATCCCAGAACAAAACTAAGTCACTTAGGCCCTGATTACTGATGAAACTGGGTAAAGAAACCCTCTACCTGAAGCTCTAAGGAAAGAATAAATACTGGTTTAAATCTGGAGCTTCCCAGGTTATTTTGTCTTAAAAGGTCCTAACCAAGTACTCTGCCAGCTTGTGGGATTAATTTGCAGTGTTTTTGGGGATGCTATAAATCTTAATCAAACCTTTTATTTCTTTAGGCACAAAATGTTGATTGATGCCTTTTGAGCAAAAAATACTGCCTCCTTTACTTTCAAAAATGTGTTAATATTTTTATTGTAATAAAAACATTTGGAGTCTAAAACTTGTTTGGAAGGAGTAGCAAACTTAGAGCTTTTTGGATATCAGGGGTGGAAGCACAGCTTGCCTGACTCAGAATAACTTGGTCTTATGATTAGGTTTATGTAGATCATTGTGATACTTCTTCCTGTTTAGACCTGCCTTTTATTAATGTTGATGATGTTTAATGGCCTTGGCACCAACATGGAGGGCTTCCTGATCCCTGGAAACTCAGCAGCAAGGTTGTGCAGATGTTCCCTCCCTCTCTTAACTTTTTATGAAATTAAGCGATTTTTGTCAGAGTTTAGCAGACAGCAATATATGAGAAAGACGTTCTGAAAGTTTTATAGTGAGTTTAGCTGGAATGACTTGGCGTTTCCAGCATTTGCTTTGGCTTGGGTAGCCCCACTGTATTGAAATGAAGAGGAGTGTCCTCCCTTTCCCCTGTGCTTAGTGCTGAATACACCAGTGCTGAAGCTGCTGGTGATCTCTTAACATACACTGCAACTAGGCTCCGCTTTAAAGGTTCTCTTTAGTGCCTCAATACACCCTTGAAGGTGCATTTTAAAAGGAAAAGCAAGTAAGCTATGCAGACACAGCCATGCATTATACAGCACTGAACTGTATTTATAGCATGTAAATGCACATATTTTCAGAAGTAAAATGGAAATTAAGCCATAGCAGATTGTGGATCTCCTTCAAAAGGACGTAGGTAGAGGAAGAAGGTAGCCCAGAGCTTGTGTGTGTTGATAACAGTCTAAACTTTACACAAGCTGCAAGGTTAGGATTTCTTTTCCCATCCCTGTATATTGTCCATATTTCTCTCGTGTCAGCACAGCTGCATACATTTTCTTCTACTCTTTATTGCTTTGGCTGGTTGCTTATGGCAAAGCACACTGAATCTCTGTCCCTTTACAGCCCCAGCTGTTGGGGTGTCCTGGGCAGGATACAGGGTGATTTTTTTCTTCTGTTTTACTTTTTCCTGTAAGAAAAAAGGATGCAGCTGCCCAGGCTGGTAGAGGCTAAAGCAGTGATGGAATTTGTTACCCAAGAACATGTATTAATGAGATGAGGTAGGGGTATAAGGAAGAGATTATTCACTCTTATCCGTGCTCTTCTGCCTGCCAGCAGAGCTGTGGAATTACGAGGCACACACCTCCGAGCGTGTAGATGTAGCGTGATATATGGCGTATAAGGTTTGTGTTTCTAAACAGCTAAAGCTGTGTCTTCTCTTGTATGAGCAGCTGGCCCTACATTTTCACAGGCTCCTTGTATGTAAAAAGTGCATATGAGGCCTTTGGAGTTGCAGCGTGTCCCTGCCTTTCGTTGGCTTCGGAGGCAGTCGTGGGTGTTGGGCTCTCCGGGAAAGTAGGTCAGCGGCCCGTCAAGTTCAGACCTATCCATTTCTCAGCGCCCCGGAGAGGAGACGATTGAGTATCATGAATCCTACCTGAGCACGGGGAGCCGTGGGAGGAGCGCGGTGACGCGCCTGGCTCTCAGCGGCAGCCATTCCGCCGGGGCTTGGAAAACTCCTGCGTTTCCCAGGAGTCTCCCGGCGCTGGGGGCATCAGAGTGGTTGGAGCTGCTGTTTTGATTGCATGTCGCCCCGTGAAACCAGCCAGAGGGCGAGAGGTGTCAAGTGGTAAACTGGTCCTTTGCCACTGACCATCTGTGCTGGGTGCCACTCAGTATGTTGTAGGTGAAGAAATATTTGGGAACGTGCTAGTGCGCAGGAATTGCCTGTTGGTTACAAACTGCAGTCCGTGCCTCCTGTGTGAGAGTTCGTTGCCAACCTGTGCGTAACAGAACTAGGGGTGCGGGTGCTGCGGGCGAGGATCGCTTTCCTGGGAGCGCTCCTGTGAGAGGGAAGCTGCTGTTGTCCACAACTGAAAAGTGCCCAAAGCCATCTGATTCCTTTTGGAAAAGCAGGTGTTCTGATCACAGGATCACGCGATGGCTGAGGTTGGAAGGGACCTCTAGAGATCATCTAGTCCAGCCCCCTGCTCCAGCAGGGACACCCAGAGCATGGGGCACAGGGCAGCATCCAGGAGGGTTTGGGAGATCTCCAGAGAAGGAGACTCCACAGCCTCCCTGGGCAGCCTGTTCCAGGGCTCTGGCACCCTCACAGGGAACAAGATCGTTCTCACATGCACACAGAACCTCCTGTATTCAGGAAGTAAAATCTATCTGTAAATTGTATGCCAGAGAAATGAAATTATTTAAAAATAAGGGAGCAGAGACCTTTGTCTTTTGTCCCCACTTTTACCATCTGAAATTCCTGCAGTCCTAGGTATCCCCATGTCTCTGCATGGAGCCCCGTGTAAGTGGCAGCGGGCCCAGGCTGTTGGCCCTGTATGTTCACGTTGGAGCCTTTACCTTGCACTGACGGAGCCGTTCAGAATCTGTCCCACATGTGGGGATTCGGAGCAGGGCCCTGCCTCTGCCCTGCTGCCCAGGGCTCGGTCCTGGGCACCGCGGGGAGCAGTTTCCTTAGGGGATGTACTGCACCAATGACATTCCTGTGCAGGTGACATCTAGGCTTTGATAAACGCACAAGGAATGTGTTCAAGGCGGAAAATGCAGGGGTGGCTTTGAAATCTTTCTGCCACGCATTCAAAATGTGATCTGTGAGCCCCTGAGTACTAGCAGTCTTTCGTTCCTTGAGATTTTCAGCTCTGGTGAGGCCACACCTGGAGCACTGGGTGCAGTTCTGGGCTCCCCAGTATAAGAGGGACGTGGAGCTTCTGGAGAGGGTCCAGTGGAGAGCAACAAAGATGATTAAGGGACTGGAACATCTAAGGGACTTAAGGGACTGGCTGCTGCCCCGTGCTCTGGCTGTCCCTGCTGGAGCTGGAGGTCGGTCTAGATGATCTGTCGAGGTCCCTTCCAACCTCAACCCTTGTGTGATTCTGTGGTTTTCTTTCCTTCAGTTGCAGAGCCCAGCGCTGCGCCGCCCCGTGAAGGGAGGGCAGCT